GAACAGCTTCGAAGTTGTTACGATCACGTTTGAATGAGTCAGAACCTTGACCTGCGTTCTGGCGGTGATTGAGCTGCGTTTGGCAGTGATGGATGAGCTGCGTTGGCAACAGTTGATAAGCTGCGTTGGGCAGCGATGGTTGATAAGCTGCGTTCGAGCTGTGCTTGGCAGCGATTGGAGCTGCATTCGAGCTGTACTTGGCAGCGATTGGAGCTGCGTTCGAGCTGTGCGTGGCAGCGATTGGAGCTGCGTTCGAGCAGCGATGGAGCTGCGTTCGAGCTGTGCTTGGCAGCGATTGGAGCTGCGTTCGAGCTGTGCTTGGCAGCGATTGGAGCTGCGTTCGAGCTGTTGATTGTTGTAGTATTTAGATTTCTCTGTCTTTATATATGGATGACACCAAAGACCAGTAAAGAAGGTCTTATTCAGGCCATTTGTGACAATTGAGGCATCTCAATAACGCTCTATCAACTGCAGGTCATGATCTCCACTGAGTGTGTCGAATATCATTACACTGCTCATCAGCACCTCTAATGGTTGCTAATATAATATTAGTCATGTTGTTGTCGCAGCCATCAAGATCAATCATCTCACATAAGAAGCTGCATTCGTGTTTATAGCTGTTGAAGCGGCGTAGGTGATTGAATCGGTGTAGTGTCTTGATGATGGTACGCGGGGAGGACTTCCACGTCTTGGTTTGAAGAGATCGTCGATTTGTAATCCTTTCTGTCAGAGTATTGCTAAAGACTGTCGTTTTGTAATCTTTGCTTTAACTCTTTGACATGTGAAAATCTTCGAATTGTAGCCTTCTGGAAGTCGTCAGATTGTAACTTCCATCATCAGTGTTCGATGGAGACTCAGCTATCCATTGTGATTTTTAGACAGCCTACAAGAACGTATACAAAAGCATCATGCAAACGCTGCTCATGCCCGTGCTCTCTTACAACAAAGACGAGAAAGAAACAAGGAAACGATGGCCAAAGAACCGCTAAAACTCTGCAAAGTTTGGATTCCAAAGTCTGGAGTTGTGCAAAATCAACATTCGGAGCCCGTTAAGACTCCGCACCCACAAGGGGGTGGTTCTAAACGTGTGACTCCCGACATAACCTTGGATCGCTCAAAGACAATAATAAGTTGTCCTGAGAATGCCAACAAGGTTTTACATCCTCAGAAGAAGACATGTTCGTCAACAAGATATTCGCTTTAAATTCTTACTTCGATAAACGAAGGAAGAATTCCCAAAACCTTCACGATTCAATCAGAATCTGTGAATCGGTGATCCACGGGCTAACGCACCCCCGGCACAAACAAAGATCTCACGCAAGCAGTGATCCAAACAACGATCCTGCGTTTGTTTCTAAAAAGTTATAATTTTCCTTTTGTTGTGTAAGAGAAGTCTTATAAAAAGACTATTTTCTTTTGAATTTGTTGTAATCAACTGAAGATATAATGAATTCCACAATGAAACCAACTTTTGACGAAAACACCTTCAGCTCTCCATCTAACCATAAGAGTGTTTTAACAAGTTTAAGAAAGTTTTTAACAAGGGTTTATGGTTGGTTTGAGTTTGGTTTAAAGCTGTTTTGGTTTTCACAAGTGGAGGAGATCATCTTCTTGTTTGGGCTTCAATCTCCATCTCTCCATTTTGTCATCTATTGAGAAGTTTTCTAAACTCTACTCTAGCTTTTATTTATTAATTATTTGTTAATTATCATTTCTATTAAAGCTAGTTTTATATTGAGTTTAGATTTGATTTTACTCATTGTTGCACACACCCACTTGAGCTTATTGTATTTGGATTCATAATATATTTGGGGTTGTGAGAGTTGTAATATTTGAGTGTGAGCTTTCATTGTGTTCTTATCTATAGTAGAAAACAATCAATTATTGTAATTGTGCCTAATTATGAGATTCACTTTGTAATACACTTGTACACCGAGAGAAGTGTGTGGCGAGAGTCGGGGATCGTCCTAAGAGGAGTGGCGTCGGTTGACGAACCTAGGGAGAGGTTATAACCGAGCACTTGAGGGAGACACGTCTAGTTCAACACTTAGTGGGTGTAGAGTGGGATTACAATAGTGTATTGTTATGAAGTTTTCGGTGAACTAAAAAACCGAGTGTGAGGAGTGGACGTTGATCGGTGAACGTTGAAAACCGACATAGTGTGGTTGTAAACGCTATTCGGGTGAACGTAGAAAACCCGGTCGTGATAGTGGATTTCTCCCCGGGAGTGGGGAGCGGAGACGTAGGACGGAAGGTCCGAACTCCGTGATCATATTGTGTGTTTGAGTGTGCTTTGGCGTTCAATCTTATTTGTGCTTATTACTCATATCGTCAATTGTGCATTGCTCTTTGTTATATCATTCACTATCTTGTTTATGTTTATTTTACCCTTGTGTTAGTTTTATATCCTTACATATATTTGTTATATCATTCACTATCTTGTTTATGTTTATTTTACCCTTGTGTTAGTTTTATATCCTTACATATATCTCATAGCATATCTCATTGCTAGGATATGTTTATTTTACCCTTGTGTTAGTTTTATATCCTTACATATATCTCATAGCATATCTCATTGCTAGGATACATCCCTTAGTTCATATTGCTTATCCTAGTTCATATATCTTATTGTATTTCATACCTGCTAGGATAACTTATTAATAATTAATTTTAATTGGCATAATATCTGATTAGATTAGCATAAGACCCTAATCACCCCCCCTCTAGGGTCTAACATTAAACTCCCGTGAAGTTTTGTTATGAGAAAAAACTTCACGGGAGTTCAACTCCCGTGAAGTTTGGAATTTTTTTTTTAAAAACAGACCCAGCATCATCCAACTAGGTCTGTTTTTAAAATTAAGGTTGAAATGAGTCTTTTTTTGGGAATAAATTTTAAAACCGGATGGTTTTGAAAATTTGTCCCTCTTTATCTTCTATGTAGTAATTACATTTAATAATTTAATAATTAACATTTTTTCTCTTTGTTTGAAGTCAAATATCATTCCAGTTCTTTGTGTATGTTCCAAAAAATGCTTCATTTCTCCAATTAAATATTCACTGACATTTGTATTTTTCCTTAATTATTTTTTATTCTCGTGTGTTTCTCTCAACTTATCTTCTTCTGCATTTAATAAAAACTTTGCCGTTTCCAAAAAAATAGAATGCTCCCCTCCCTCCCTCCCTCCCACAACATCCAATCCCCCTTAATTAATGCTGAGCACATAGGAAGAGAAGTGTGATCTTTTAACCGATTTAATTGAATAAAATAGTATTTTCTTTCTACATTAATGCTTTTCCCCCTTGTAGTACTTGGTTGTACCAAATTTTGCTTATAGGCTGATATTTTTCTTCATTATTTTTCCAATTCATCATTGTGATTATCTCTCCCCCCTCCCCCCTCACTGGCACAGTTGGATGGTCCATAGCCTTTGCAATATCAAAAAGATAAACACATAAACCGATGCATACTTAGGAGTTGATAAGTTACATATAGATCATAACTTTGTAAATTGCTCATTCATTTATTATTGTCGCCTAATTACATCATCTTCTCCTAGATTATGGACTTTTAAAAGTGCGCTACTATTTTGGGTGCTTGCTGTAGTTTTCTATGTCAACAGGAAATTGGACAATATACGTAACTTAAAGAGATTTCTTTAGAAATTATCACAAGCTAAATATATGCTATAAATCAATACTATAACAGTTGTTAGCTCGAAATTCATGATACATGGAGTAATTTCATTGGACCAATATTTTTCTATAATCGAGCAATTTATGGAAAAAAAATTTAAGTGCCAATTGACGGGAATAAAGAGTTGTTATTTATTGTTTAATAAGTTATTGTTTTTATAATTAAATTATTTATCTTCTATCTATCGAAAAAATTATTTATTTTCTTAAAATATATAATATAAAAAGATTCCCGCAGCATGACACCCTGAGCCTAGATTTATTTAAGTAATTAAAAATTATGAATTTTAATTTCTGTTATACTAGTCAAATACAATGCTATTTCACATGATTATTTTCTTCTCATATTGACCAAACAGTTTGCACAAGCATCGCAGTTACCTATATATAGAATATAGAATACTGGTAAAAGCAATTAATAAGGTTGTGGCTAACAGCAGTGACTTTGACTTCTGACCAGTCTCGTGGAATAAACTCAGTCCTCGTCAATAGAAGTAGAGTCACAAATATCTTTTCCCTTCTTTTTTTAAACACTCCTAAACAAAACAAAACAAAACAAAAAAAAAAAAAGAAAAAGAAAAAAGAAGGCATCTGTCCTCTAAGGAATACCCACAACAATCAGCACCCAAATTTAATTTTTTTGTGCTGCTACGGGGACTCAAAATATGAGATCAATGGAGAGGACATGTGAGGTGTCCCCTCCCTATTGCATAATAAGTTGGCTATACCAACTCATTATGTAATAGAAAGAGGACACATCACCTATCCCATTCATTGGTCTCATATTTTGGGTCCTTAAATCATTTTTCATAACGAAAGGCTAAAACCCTGTTCCGGGTGAGAGAAAAGGAGGGGCCCCACTTGCAAATAATGAGAGAGAGACCAATTTTACCACTCCTTTTCAATTAAAACTCGCCGCTCTCAAAAAAGAAAAAGAAAAGGGAAAAAAAGGGGAAAGTGCGCTGTGTTCCTCGAAGCTGAAAATTCTCTTTCTCCCCGTCCCCTGTTTCCTCTGAAGAAATCGTCTCAATTTTCTGACCGCTCCCGTTTGCTATCAGTCAAAAAAGGAGGGAGCTTCGCCGAAGGATCCCAATGATGAACGGCGGCGTGAGCGTCGGCGTCGCCGGCGGCGGCGGAGCGGAGGAGAAGGGCAGCCATCGAGGAGGAGCTCTCCTCCCGATCCTCCTCGCTGGAGAAGAGTATAAGCAGTACCAGGAGTCGGAGTCGTTCAAGTCGAGTGCGCGCGAGGTCGGGCAACAAGGTCCACGACCTCTCGGCCAGCTCCGCTTCCGCCCGTACGCGTCGCCATGCCGCCGGACCCGCCGCCCTACGACGCGCCCCATCCGCCCGCATCTTCGCGGAGGCCGCCAAGAACCTGGAGCGGCCCTGGCCCTCGTCCGCCGCTGCAAGCGCGCCGGCCGTCTCCGCGGGTCGTGACATCACCATTCAGCTACGCCGACTTTCGCAAGTTTCGCCGCTCCTCCGACGCCTCGCTCGGCGACCTCCATGGCTCTGTCGCGTTTACGACACCGAACGCGGTGCTGGGGCGTGGACATCGTGCTTCAGCTCCCGCCATCGCCAGCACCGACCCCATACTCTCTTGGGTTGGAGTTACATCGCCACGGTCCAGAAGGCCGCGCGCTCTGACCGCGTCGAGGCCGCCAATTCGCTGTGGCGAACCTGTGGCCCTCGACAACCACAGGAACAAGAAAGTCACATGAGGAGGAGGGAGTTCCCGCCGCCTGCTCTCGCTAGCTCCCCGGACGCTTCCGCCCGTCGACGGCAGATGCCTGCTTGCATATGCGCGCTGACGAATCTGGACGTCGGACCCGCGAGACGTGTCGATGATCGCTCGAAGGCCGAGGGCCGTGCCCGTTCATTGTGAACGTGCTCTCGGATCCCCTGATGAGGCTGCAGACCCTTGTGGCTGGGCTCGTGTCGAGGATGGCCCTCCACGACCCTGTCTGCCTCAGGGAGGACGTTTGCGATGGAGAATGCCATTTCGCGCCCCTCGTGTCGCTTCTGGTCGTTTGAGTTCCGACTTGGAGGACTCTAAACCTGCCCCGAAGAAGCATACGAGCATACATTCTCTGGTCCAGGGCATGTCGACTGCTGGTCCGATGCCCAGCGACAGCTTTGGCTCTGGCATTGGCCGAGGAAGCTCCATGTGCAGGGACCACCACCATCACCGAAAGGAGAGGGAGAATGAGAGCCCTGAGGTGAAGCTCGGGCTCAAGATTGCTTGTGCCGATGCCTTGTGGATGTTGTCTAGGGGCTCCATTTCCAATAGCCGGAAGATCACCGAGACGAAAGGGCTCCTTTGTCTCTCCAAGATTGTTGAGAAGGAGAAGGGTGAGCTCCAGTACAACTGTCTCATGA